CCTATTTTAAATATGCGGGGTGCGGTCGGTAGTCGAGATTTTTGCATACCATGTAATAAATCTTACATGCACGAGGAAGAGCATAAGTGCTCCCACAAATGCGCTAGATGTTTTGGAAAACCGCCCTCCGATTCGGCTCTCCCCACATTGTATTGTCGCGAGTGCCATAGGTACTTTTTCAGTCAAATTTGTTTCGATAATCATATAAATACGCTGATTAGTAAACAGAAGGGAAAAGAAAAGAGCATGTGCCAGGCCGTTCACAGCTGTCCGCAGTGTCTTAGACCTCTTCAAGGAACGACTCGCAAGCACTCTTGCGATAAGGTGTATTGCAGCGTCTGCAGGAGTGTTAATGACGTTGGACATCGGTGTTACGTCAAACCGGTAAAAAAGACTACCGCTGAAAAAAAATATTCTGTACATCTTCTATGATTTTGAAACACAGCAGATACAGAAGCTGCCCGATGACGACGCGGTACGTATCCACACACTAAACTTGTGCGTCGTTCAGCAAGTGTGTACAGCATGCATAAATAATACACATCTCGCGAGGGTGTGCCCGTCTTGCGGTGTACGCAAGTACACCTTCGAAGTGGATCCCGTAAGGCAGTTTGTAGATTTCGCGTGCGATCCTAAAAGAAAATCGTTTCAGCGTGTGATCTGCGTGGCGCATAATGCCAAGGGTTTCGACGCACAGTTTGTACTACGGCACATTGTGAAGCGTAGAAGAAAAAGCCTAAAACCGCTGACGCTGTTACTCAGCGGCACGAGCATCATAATGATGAAAACGGGTCGTGTAACTTTCATAGACAGTCTTCATTGTTTTCATATGCCGCTGAGCGCACTACCAAAATTCGATCCTCGGCCTCGGCCTCGCGGATGCGGTTGGTTTGAAACAAAAGAGTGTCTTTCCGCATCTGTTCAATACACCTGAGAATCAGCATTATATCGTTCCGCTACCGGCGCTCGAGTTTTATTCGCCCGATACGATGTCGTCGGCTCAGCGTAACCAATTTTTAGCGTGGTATCACGAACAGTGCTTTGCGGGATACGTGTTTAACTTTCGAACCGAGTTTATAGATTACTGTAGATCAGACGTTACCATTCTCAGGCAGGCCTGCGTTTCTTTCCGCGAAATGTTTCTTCAGCATGGCAATGTTTGCCCTTTCTCGGAGAGCACCACCATAGCCTCGGCGTGTTCGAGGGTTTTTCGGAAATTTTTTTGCGGGACCAGCAGATAGCTATTTTACCGCCGGGCGGGTATCGATACGGTGAGAAACAATCGCGTAAGGCTGTCTTATGGCTTCTTTCGCTGGAGCATTGTTTGGGCTGTGCCATAGTTCACGCAGGGCGCACTCGGGAGTATCGTCTATCGGAGGGTACACCCGTCGACGGCTACTACCTGGACACCGACACAGGCCTGCGACACGTATTTCAGTTTCAGGGTTGTTTCTGGCACGGTTGCCTAAAATGCTATCGTATAAACAGAAATAGTCGTCTACACACGGGTGGATCCATGGACGCACGTTTCGATAGAACGCAGGATACCAACGATAAGATTCGGTATCTAGGTTACGAGCTAACGGAAATTTGGAAGTGCGAATTCGACCGCTGGATAAACGATCCTGAACTGGCCGATTTATACAGATCGCTGAATGAGAACCCGCTGGTATCGCAGGCACCGCTCGAACCCCGCGATGCTTTCTTCGGTGGTCGTACAGGGAATAATGTCAGTTTTTATGAAGTCGAGGGGTCTGAGAGGATACACTACGTAGATGTATGCTCGCTCTACCCCTTCATTTTGAAAACGGGAAAATTCCCTGTAGGTCACCCTACGGTGTATGTGGGCGATGACTGTCTCGAGCTAACGGGTGATCGCAACAACATCAATAACGTGGAGGGCTTGATTAAGTGTGTGGTATTACCACCGCGCGATCTGTATCATCCCGTGTTACGGGTACGTATGCACGGTAAACTGCTCTTTGCCTTGTGTCGTTCCTGTGCAGTGGCCACGCTACAGAGGTCGTGTCCTCACGAGAATCCCGCGGATAGAGTATTCGAAGGGACCTGGGTCGTGGACGAGGTCAGGTGCCCCGTACGTAAGGGGTATGAAATAACGTTGATACACGGAATATGGCAGTATGAGATTACCCAGTACGATCCGGCGACACGGACGGGCGGTCACTTTGCCGATTACATAAACACGTTCCTAAAGATTAAGCAGGAAGCTAGCG